TTTAGTACCATTCAAGTGCTTAAATCAGTTTTATACCATTGCAAGTATAAACTTTAGATTCACCTTAAAATGAGTTTAGTTGATGTAGACATTGTTTTATTTAAATAAGATGAGAAACAATCATAATCAAATAATTTTCAAAGCTCTTTTTTTTTAGTTTTATAGCAAAAACATTCACATTAATTTATTCAATATATTTTTCCAACAACTATGAAGAAACATAAAAACTATAAATTATAGCTAGATGACAAACATATATTAACATATATATTTGGTTGGATTGATGTGAGTTTGTGACCCTGGGTTTCACGTTTTTGTGATCATCAGACAAACTGATTAATTTTTTAAAATTTTGGGTTTATGTAGATTGCGTGTATTGGTGTTATTATGGAAGTGGGCAGGGGAATCGTCATCATGATGTCACTCATGCTAACACAAACATAGATGCATGTCCGTACACCCGTTGAGGTACGCAGACACACAGAAGTGATTAATAATGGTGGTGGGAGAATGATAAAAACAATAAATGTAATTATTATGGTGGTAGCTTGAACTAAAAAGTGATTGTTAGTGTTTTATTTTATTTTATTTTTTATTGTTTTTATCATTCTCCCACCACCATTACTAATCACTTCTACCAATTTACAATAACTATTAGCTACTTATATTATCATTGCCACCAATCCCCCTACAACATTACTATCACATCTACTATTATCATATAAACCCGATATAATTATTAATGTAAACTACCCCCCTCCCCCCAGCATATTTAATACTACCATAAAAATAACCAATAAGGATTACAAATTGCAATTTCTACCAGTTACATATACACAGTCATCAAAAACAAGCAAATAACCAGTTTTAAAATAATAACAAATAAACTTTAAAAAATTAAAAATAATAGCAATTTTTACCTATCATAATTTTACACAGACCCCACCACACATATATACGTGTATGCGAGGAAATATTATTCAGCGAAAAAATAGAAAAAATGCCCTGATTGCTGACATGTATACATTCATGAAAAAATTGTCACTATACTTCCGATCTTTGAATTTCAACATACAAATGTGTATGTATATAGACAACAGCACCCATATACATACATATGTCAAATCCCATACTGTCCACATATGTTTATGTCTGTATAAGCCCCGGCGTATGAGCGAGTGTGTATGTGTGTCTGCGTACCTCAACGGGTGTACGGACATGCATCTAAGTTTGTGTTAACATGAGTGACATCACGACAACAATTCTCCCCGCCCACTTCCATAATAACACCAATACACGCAATCTACATAAACCCAAAATTTTAAAAAATTAATCAGTTTGTCTGACAATCACAAAAACGTGAAACCCAGGGTCACTCTATCAATCCAACCAAAAATGTGAAACCCAGGGTCACTATCAATCCAACCAAATATGTTAGCTCTATCTCTGATATTGAGCGCTTTCTAATAAGTACCACATATATAATATATAAATAATAATATATATTATATATATATATATATATATATATATATATATATTTATATACACACACTTTTCACATATATTAACATATATATATATTCTTGAAATGCTAAAGAGTAAATTTATTCAATAAAAATTGCCATTCACTTCAACCACAGTCTCCAGACAACTTCAGAATCTCCTGCTACTCTTCTGGATGGTCTCCTTGTTTAAGGTGGTAAATGCTGCCATAATCCTTGCCTTCAGTTCATCTTTGGTGTTACGAGTTTTAATAACATAATAACCAAGGGTGTTTCAGTGTGGGGAGTTAAGTGGCCAAATGTAAGGGCTGATGTGGTCACAGAAATTGTTTGACAGCCATGACAGAGTTCTCCTGCTTACATGGCATAGTGCAGAGTTCTGTTGCCAGACATAGGGTCTTTCAGCAGCCACCCTCATGACCCAGGGCAGCACTACCTCAAGGCATTTGATTTAGTCCTCTGTGTTGAGTCTGAGGCCCTTACCAACAAATTTAGGAGTTCTTTTCTTATCAGAACAATCAGAGTGAGTTTACAGAGCTGCCATACCTTCATAATCACCATTAGACTCTTCTAACTCTTTCTAAATCTTCTGCACTGTCCTCAGATTGACACCTAAACACTCTAAAATGTTCATATTGAAGCTTCCAGTGTGAATGTCTAGCAGTAAAGCATGCTGTTTCCAAATTTCTGGTGGAGTGAATTGCATCATGGTGCTTTTTTTCTCACAGACAGTTCCCAACTGAACCTACTGTGTAGCCGACAAAATCAAAAACAATGTGCATGCCCGAAATTAAAAATATAAAATGGTGACAATTATCTATCGCATTCTGTACATGTCAATCATTACAAAGATTCTAGTATTTTTATTTTAGTCAGAAAATATTTTCTTCTGCAAATCTATATAAGGAAATGTCGTTGAACATTTTTTGACATTAAATCAAACATTTTCTTCGGCTGATTCTATTTTTGTATATTAGTCCTTTAAGATTTAAGAGTGACTTTACAATGTCTTAACATTAGCAGCTGATGTAAATTAACTGAAGTGAACTAGGGATGACAAAGTAATTCAGTTCTCAGTTGTATTTCATTTACTTTTAATATGGTTTCAAAAATAAAATAATCAGGAAATACAGGACACATTAACTATTAGGTTTTTTTAGTATGCACTTTTACAGCATGAAAACAGACTAATTAATGTAATATAATTTGAGTAACATTTTAACTTGTAGATCATATCAGCAGTACAAACAAAAATCTTATAAAATGTTAACATTTGAAAATTATAGAATGTCATGTTTGAAGAATAGAATTCCCATTTATTCAACAAACACCCACACATTCAGCATAGGAAGCTACATACATATTATAGGGTAGATCAATTAAAACACATGCACATATATATATCTATATATATTCAAGCATGTTTGGTTAAATAATTTAGACATATTATATCTATTTATTTTAGTTTTAATCCTTTCAAGTGCACAAATTAATTTCTTGGTGGCTGTAGAAAATTGATTAAGAAAAATTCAAAAATTTTCTTTCAAATAATTTTTATTTTTCCAAGTATTTTCAATCTCATCTGGACCATCTTCAGGGATTGCATATCTATGGCTGTGTCATGTGTTAACACCATAAATTCAAAATATTTCTTTACCTCTATGCAAGGGAGGTAACTTATGTGACTTTTTAATTGTAGTATAATAATAATAATAATAAATTTACTACGTCCCCATATAAAAAACAACTAGCATAAACACATGCACTCAACTATAAAAGTGAATGTTCTGACTATTACAAAATAGCTATTATATGAAATTTAATAAACCATGCAAAAGCAAACTCTTCAACAAGAAAGATTTTCTATACTACATATAAATTATTATATTGTAACCTGATGCATCCCAAATGAAAAAGCTTATTAAAAATATAATTTGCCAGTAAATACCTTAGATTTATCATTTATTACAAAAAAAATTCAGATCATCTGATCTAATTATTAGCAAACAACATTTTAAATTATTATGAATTGATGAAATATGTTGAACATGATTCTGCAGAGCATTACATTCATCACCTTCAAAGTTGCTGCATTTGGAGGATAAAAAAGCTATTTGTAAAACAGGGAAATTGTAATTTCATGCAATCACATGACAATACTTGTCCACATTTTGTTTTGCTGACCCAATGGATCTGAGATAGGAAGTTATTTCTATCACAGTGTTTTCACCAGACATGGTGCCAGCTGATTATCATTTGTTTCAATCAATATAATATTCCTCATAGCACTCTTCTGTGATCAAAAATTTAATGATGTCTTTGATACAAAAGATTTCTGTGACAACTTTAATATGCCAAAGCCCAAATTGTTTTATCAGGATAGAATTCCGTAACTTCTGTAATATTTGTGTCATAGAAAACCAAGGAAAATATTCACAAAAAGAGAATGGCTGGAGAGGAGATGAAAGGTGAGCCTCTAAATGTGAAAGAAGAAATGGATCTTGAAGGCAATATTGTTCAATACAGAACTGAAAGATCGATTTACAAGGTTAAGTCGATTATATGAGCAATTTGGGTTCCTCTTGGATATTGAAAGCATCATTGATTCAAACAAAGACATGGTAGAAAAATGCCAAGTAGCTGCTGCAGCATACGAGGGTGATTTTTATGGAATAGAACTCTGTCATCAAATCAGATTGCCGAATGTTAATACAAAAAAGAAAAGACAGTGCCTTGGTTAAACCAAAAACCCCAATCAAGCTTTCCAACTTCATAATATCTTACAGCAATGATGTGTTCCCCAATTTACAAATAGCATTGCACATACTGTTGGATGTTGCTGTCTCGGTGGCATCCTGTGAGTGCTCTTTCAGCAAACTAAAATTGATAAAAAATGATCTCCAAAGCATAATGGGTAAGGAACACCTAAATAATTTGACTTTATTAAGCATTGAAAATGAAGAATTTAGACATATAAATGTGGATGGGGCTACTGACAAATTTTTGACCACCAAGACTGGTCATATGTCTCGGCCTTATAAATTCAAATAAATGAAATGAATGGCTCTAGTCTTGATATCTTTTAATTCAGGTTTTGTCAATCCACAGTGCATGTCGGTAGTGGCTGATCAAATAAAAATATATTTGAATTGCATTTAAATACTTTTTCAGAGCATTTGTATTTGTGTGAAAAAGCATTTATATTTACATTTTTGCTTAGTTTCAGAAGTATTTGTATTTGTTTTTGTATTTCTGAAATCTGGAAGGAAATTATCTGTATTTATATTTGTCTTTCCAATTATATCGCATCAATAATTGTGAGAACCATTTGTATTTGAATTCCTAAAAAATTAGTATTTGATCCATCCTATTTGTTGGTCACTGGTTATATTAAGAGGCACTGAGTCAAGCTCTTGCTCCTCTACCCCCAGATCAAGACCACCACTGACAGAAATCATTTAAAATAGAAATGTGAAGGAGAATATGTGTGCTTACTTGTGTTTTTTTTCATATCTGTTTACATCACGAACAATGTCTTCAGTGGTCAGGCTACGTATATATGTTTCATTGAAGTTCCAGATTTGAAGTAAAGATGTCATTTTTAGCAAACCCCTACAATACAACCAAAGGTACAAAAATTAATTGAATCATTGCAGAAGAATACATTTTTCATAAAATAATACCTTTTTTGAGAAACAATCTCACAGAATTTTGAAAATAATTTATTTCATGTTATGGATATATTTGAAGTTTAAAATTTTCACTTTTAAGCTGTTATAAATGTTATAATGAGAGTTTGGTTGCAAAGGTAAGGAACAAACAAGGATTAAATATTCAACAGTATGTATTCGTCAAATATGTCATTGTTTGAAATTTGGCAAAATATTGTTCATCTGTAGTTATTCAGTTGCTGTTGGTAAGGAAAGCAATTAGGCATAAAGGTGTTGTTGGTAGGATTGGGAGGTGACAGATTTCTTGGGTTGGTTGGCCAAAGTCACACTTAGGTTCAGAGGATAGGTCTGGAGAGGATTAGCCACTGTGTGGTTCAATGCACACCTTTCTTTAAGGTTGAAATCCAAACCTGTGATGTGGTCTTTGATGAGCTGGCAGTCATGTGATGCTGAGATGTTGAAGCCAAACTATCTGGTAAGGTGGGATGGCAGGTTGGTCAGTCAAGGTCACAGTGGTGGGCTGATTCATGGTAAGGCATGTTGATTGCTGATGTTACAGCAGTGGTAACAAGGGATTAAATATAGATAGTGAATGTTGATTGAGCAGAATGTCTGTTGCATTCTGGTTGAATGTGGTATCAATGAAACGGGATGATGGTGGTGACAATGAGGGAGGTCTGGATGACATTGAGATGTTAGTAATCACAATGTTTGGCATCAGGAGCCTGTGGTTTTGAAGCTGGTCCATTGGCTGCATTCTGCATGTGAAGAGTTGGGTAAGATTAGTTGTGTTGGGACAAGGAGAAGCTATTATTGGTGGTGACAGCAACAACGTGTTTGCATGCTGTCAAGTGACCTTTCAGTTTGTAAATCAATAATTTTCAAAAACACCCCCAGAGCTTGTCAAAGAGAGGGTAAATTACTCCAAATCGGCAAATTAAGAAGTGGTTTTAATTGTTCTGGATCTGGCTTCATGCTACCTTTACTAACAACACATCTGAGTAATTTAATAGCATTTTACCTAAAAAAACATTCATTGTAATTTAGCATTAAGTTATATTTTTCTACTGCTGCCATAAATTGCTTAAGATTCCTATCATGGTTGCACTGGTTATAGCTGCATATGGCTACATTATCTATATAGGTGAAGGTACCTTTTAATTTTTCTTTTAAAATTATTTTTTCTTTGAAAACTGACCATGCTGTTTGTTACACTGAATGGAATACTGCCAAATTGGTACAGTCAACCACCTGCTTTGAATACAGTATAGGCTTTGTCACTTGGTTTTATTGTGACCTGGTGGTAAGCACTTCAAATATCTAGTGTACTATGTACACCATATTTAGCAATATCTCCAATAATGTTGTTGATATGTGGTAATGGATTTTCATCCAGCAAAGTGAATTTATTAATGGTCTGTCAATAGTCAATAACCATTCTCTTTTTGCAATTTTCTAAAGAAAGACATTACAAGAAGTTGTTCTCTCCATGGAGAGTAGCTTGGTTTCATTATCCTTTCATTAAGCATTCTTTTAATTTTGTTATTGATGAAATGTTTGTCTTCATTTGTATGCAGTCTTGATTTTATGGCTATTGGTTTGCAGTCAGGCATTAAATTTGCAAAGAATGCCAGGTAAGGCATGTTAGCCATCATTAGTCCACATAATTTTAATGACTGTTTGGGTTCACCAAATAGTATCTCGACATGAGAATGTTGTTGAAGAAAATCATGTCCCAGTATTATACTACAGCAGAGATTCTTCATTATTAAGAATTTCACTTTATTGTACGAGGACCTTTTTATTTTCAAGTCAACTAAACAGTATCCAGATATTTGAAATGATAATTTTGTATCAGCCATTGATACTCTGCTAGGGCAGAGAAAATTTTTCCACCAGTTTGAATTTGTGATACCTGCAACAATAAAATTTTCTGTGCTACCTGTATTAATCAGCATGTCCAGAGGGAGTCCATTGGCCTTGATTCTTATAGTAGTTTTAATAAGTAAGTGAAGTCAACAAGAATATGCAGGGCAATGAGATGCTCTTTTTTGTTTTATTTATACAGACTTTAGACCAGTGACCCCTTTTTCCACATGAAAGTCAGTTATTGTCTTTTGCTGGGTATGACAAGTGAGAATGCGTTCTACCACTATGGAAAAAACAAGTGTGCCTTATTGAGGACACAGTTTCTAATGAATGAAGAGAATCCCAGGGTTGAGAGGTGGCAGAAATAAAAGGACGTCTTTCGGTCATTACAGTCACAGAGTCTTGTTGAATGAAAGATTTTGCATTACATTGAGCTAGGTCTAAAATTCTTGCTTGGTCATCGGATTGCTGAAGAGTAATGTTTTCATTTTCTAGTAGATGCTGCCGAATGTTTACTGACAATAATCCATTAATAAATGTGTCCCTTACTAGCTCTATACAGCATTGTTCAGCTGTAACAGCTGTGAAGGTGCAATCTTTGCTATGTTTGTTTAGTTCCTAAATAAATTCATTAATTATTTCTGAGAGCTGCTGGCATCTCATAGCAAATAGAAGATGAGTAACCATTTCATTTTTCTTTCAGATATACAGTTTGTCCAGAATTTCTTGAACTTTCTGATATGTGGCTGCATCTGAGAAATACTCATAGATGCCAGTTGAGACATACTTTGTTAAGTAATGTAACTTGTTATGTGTTGTCACAACATTCCTCCAAGATGTTTACAAAGGTTTTTCACCAATGACGGTACACTCTCTCTGCAATCAGAGAATCTGGATCTGTAGTTAGTTTATCTGGGCAGAGTATACATTCTGTCATTGCAAAAGCAAATTAGTCAAATAAATTGTAATATAGCAACAACTCTAAGTAGAAGTTTATGAAGCTTTACTTGACAAATTCAGCTTTAGTGCTGAAAATGTTTATTTTATTATAGTAGATGGTTACAAGTGATAGGGGAAATGGGATGTGCTTATTTTATTACCACAGTTTGCATGATAAAATTTGACAGTGTATTCTGAATGCAAATAGAAGAAAGAAATATTTAACATTAAACTAAAAACATTTGACTTCAGACACAATAAATTGGATGTTTGAAGTAGTGAGTTCATAATTCATGCATGACTGAGAATTCAAATTTTATTCTAGGTCAATTTTTTTTTTTATCTAATATTAACTTTGTCCAAGTAAAAATTTCATGATTAGTAGGGAATCAACATTATTCCATATCTCTTGGGTATGTCAGTTTTCTTCTTCTGTTCCAGAAGTAAGTTAGGATAAGTGACAAGAATGGTTATAAAGGTCCAGTTCAAGACAGATTTGTGCTGAGTTGGAACAACCAAAGTAAAAATTGTACTTAATTCATCTGAGGTGGAGGTTCTGCAAAGACATGTTCAAATGTTATGTATTGGAAAGTGGGAAGTGAGTTTCTTAATCCAGTCCAGAATTAAATTAGGTAAATCATGATAAGAATGGTTATAATGACTGAGCTCAAATCAGTCTTGCATTAAGTTGGAATGACCAAAGTACAGGTTGTAATTACTTCATTGGTGGAAGTTCTGCAAAGCATGTCCAAACACTGTTGAAAAGTGGAAAGATAGTTCAGTCATCAAGCAACAAGGTAAAAGAGACGTTTCTCAGCAGGTACATCTTCGCTCACATCCTGCTACATCTTGGAGCAAAAGGAAGAAAGAGCAAGAGAAAGGAAACGTTTGTCTTTTTATAGTACTTTTTAGCACCACCTAACAGTTATTTTGCAAGAGCCAAGTGTAATAAAATTGTGCAGATGACCAAAATCCTTTCTGGTTTCCTTTATTACGAGCATCATGGGAAATTGCTTTTATTTTTTTATTCTTTATTATTTTATTTATTGATTTTATTTAATTTTCTCACCACAGTTGTTGATGATAATAATGATGACAATATTATGTTGGTCATTGAATTTGTAAACACATTCTCTTAGAACAGCTGAAAATATATCTAAAATCTTCTCATAAGTCATTTCTTTGAGTAGGAATTTTTAAAATGGAGTGTAAATATAAAAAGTAAATATAATAACCATACAAAGTAAAAATAAAAAAGTAAAGTTATAAGATTTCTCTACTAACCAGTTCCAGTAAGTTACTAAATTCATTTGTTTTACTTCAAGGTTCCACACCGTATTATGTATATCCATTAACTGAAATCATAAAAGATGGAAGATTATCAGAAAGAAACGTTTTTTTTTCTCAAGTAGTTTTATCCTTAGAATAAAAAAAATTTCCTCAGAAATATATTTTAATTTTATAGAGACTTCTTTAAAGAACTAGTAAAAGAATTAATTCCTTCTTGTTATATTCTTATTGTTAATTCTTTATTGTTATATTATGCATAGACAAAATAATAAATCAGTTAAAATCTTAAACTTAGTAAAAAAATATTAGAAATTTATGAGCAAATTATCAACCACTTAAATTAGAAGCAAGAAAAACTTTTTCACCTTTTATTTTTAATAACTGATAGAAAGCTAGTAGTCTTAGTAATATATCTACAAAAATAATTTTAAAGTGTTATATCCATTTTTTAGATACCAAAAAAGATTTTACTGAAACATTTTGTGAACATTTGGAATAAAAACTCAAAAGAAAACCTTAATCAGTTTCAGAAAAAAATATGAAACAAATAAGATGTAAAGTAGAAATGAAGGGAAAACAAAATAAGTAGATTATTCTGAATCAAGGCTTCTGCCAAGATATTTACAAATACTACAAGAATCACAAATGGATAGAAACAAAATAAATTTATTTTGTACATTTGTTCATTTTATACATTCAGGTTTCAAATCAAGTTTTGTTTCACTCAATCAAATTCTTTGTGAAATTTCTTTGGAAATTTAAGCAATGCAAAATTTTCTTGAAACCACTGCAAGGATATAAAAAACAAACATATACTTATATACATACTCTTACTTATGTAAGAAAATGATTTTGAAATACAGTTGATCATTTTGAGTCTGCCAAAAAAAGGTATATTCAGTTTTAATAGTTTTTAATAAACTAATTTATAAGCAGTATAAATAATCCAGTCAAACCAAGCATATTAGTAAAAAACTATGTAGTAAAATTCTAAATCTGAAAAGGAATACAAATGGTAGTGCTGTGAATTTTGGATTAAAAGCCTCCTCTTCAAGATGGAATCATTAATAGCAGCAGGTATTAAAACTCTATTGAGTACCAATATTTTGAATCTTGTCCCATTGCTACTATAGTTACCGACTTGTGAATAGTTTTAAACAAATCAGATGATTTTGTAAAAATGTAGCACACTATGATATCAGAATAGCAGGTATGGTGAGCCAATTTGTACATTGTACAAGACACTTGTACAGTGCAGTGACACAAAAAAACAAAACAAAATACTGATAGTTTATATGACAAGGACAAATCTCTGAAACCAGGACAGTCCCAGCCAAACCATAAATGTGAGCCTATCATAAATGCTTGTGAAATTTTATGGTAAGGAAGTTTAGTATAATATTACTGATAGAGAAAATATCATTAGATAACAAAATGACAACATCACTACATTGTAGTAAATTTTAGAAAATTCTCAAAGCTTAATCATAACAGAAATGTGAAAACATCAATGAACAGATGTTATGTTAAAATAATAAACAACAGATTCTAAAGGGCTTTTGCTAATAAACAAAAACAAAAGAAAATGATTGCACTTATCAGGAGGCAAAAATGGAAAAAACAATTCAACAATTCTTCTTATACCATTTTTTATACTCTGACTTATGCAGGTACTTATACAATGTTGCTGATCTAATAAATAGAATTATATGCTGAAATTTTACTATCAGTTGGTTGATAATAATTTTATTGTAAAGTCTGTGACTTGAATAAAAGATGTAGTGTTGTGTATAGTGTAAATAAATATCAAATTATTCTTTAAATTATTTTTCTTTATATAACTTTCATTTTTTTTTTATAATGATGTCCACCCTATACAAGGCCCAAGAGTCACTCGAGATAGAGTATTACAGAGTGAGAGGTACAGTTTGAGGATATGTGGGGAAGCCTAAACTTGAACAGGTTAAGATTGTAGAGATTGGGGAAGCATCCTCTTGGGATTCAGTTCCACAAAGCAGCCTAATATGGCTCTTGTAAAGGTAGAGGATAGCAGGAGGAGTCAGGTACTTACTGGAGCGGTACAAGGAACCGACCATTTTTCCAGCATCTTTAGCAATGTATCACATGTTTAAGTTCCACTTGAGATCTACGTTGAGCTTAAGTTGTAATAGGTTCTCAAGGCATGGGGCTTCTCTGAGAGAACACCTATTCATCATGATTGGTGAAACTTCTAGGTCTGTACAGTGATAATGGAATGTCATATATTCTTTGGAGCAGGAAATAAAAGTAATTATAATTACTCTCATGCAATGTTTCCGACTATCAAAATAAATGCCTTTTTTTTAACATTTTTGAATAACAGGAAAAAGATTATTTTTATGCTGAAAATTGTTTGATTACAAATACAAATTTATAATGGTGGAAACAAATAAAATAGTAAAAAGGTGAATGTTAACCTTGAAATTGTATTGCAATTCATAATGCTAAGAAGTAAGTTTATGCTAAGAAGATTACAAACAAATCCTTACACAATTATCAAATAAATGAGAGGGTGCTGAAAAGTACTTAGTCCATTTTCCAAAATCAGTATTTCAATAAGAGCATCTCTTCAAAGTAGTACCTTTCCCAAAGGGAAGGGCTAGTCTCATATATGCATGTGAGTACTACTTGAAATTTGACTTTGCACCATATGTTATTCAAATAGGCATATGAATAAATATCATGATCCTTCTGTTGGCTGTAGGTGGGACAACCCCCCACAAACAGGACCTCTTTAAAAGAGGTGGGCTAGAGTTAATCCCTGGTGCCTGAGGTGTTCCAGTAGGAAAATGCCAAGGAAACTTGAGAAATGTCTATCCCTAGTGCCATATATGCATGGGACTCCCACTTTAAGAGTTGACTTTGTGCCATATTCCATTCAAGTGGATGTGTAAATAAATGCCATTATATAGCTGCTAATACTTGAAAGAAACACAAAAATAGGAATGAGTATGAGATATTTCAATGGCACCTCATGCTGGACCTCCATTACAAACAATCAACAAAGTGTATGGGAAGATTTAAAGACAAACATCAGAAATATACTTCATTGCAATAAATATAAGACACAAAGGAGAAACAAGTCATTGTTTTTTGGGGGGAGGGGGTTTGCATCAAGGTGAAGAGAATCTTTGTCAGATTTATAGTGTTAGATAATAAAAGGAAATATGCTTCTTCTTAATACCTGACAGTTGATTAAAATTTGACTTATAAAGAATATTGGTTTCATACTCAAGAATTCCATGATAATACAGTAATATATATTATATCTTAATTTTGCGAATACATCCATTTAAAGTTAACCTGCAATAATGTTAAGAAACAGGCTAAACCATAAAATGTGTTAATAGGGTTGAGTTCCAGTTTCCCCGCCAAAAGAAAAGAAAAAATAGGACAAATAAAATAAAAACGGCAAATAATTAAACTATACAATACTTAAGGAAAAGGTTAAACTTAGGAATATTAAGATTACCTCCTTGGTTATCCATCGAAACTGCAATCCACCGAAATAAGAAAAGAAGCCAGTCCCCACCGCGGGCCATTTAAAAGATAGTTCGCGCAGCAGATTGGTTGTTACAAACATCCAATTGGATGTGCGGAATATGTGGTCTCTCTTCGTCTAATTCTTTAAAAATGCCATAGTAGTTGTTAGCGTTTAACTGTGAGGGGGAATCAGGGGTTGATCTTCCCTGATTTGGTGATGGGGAGTATGATGTTGAAAGACCCGAAACTCCCTGATGAACCAAGTCAAAACTCACTGACGACCATCTCGGGCGCCTACTTAAAAGCGTATTTTTGAAAAATAGCTCTGAAAAACATTGCTTGTACTTGCAATGTTAATGAATATTCTATTGACTATACTATTATTTATCATTTTATTGAAACACGCTCACCTCAAAGTCTTAAGACGTCAGTTATTAAAAAAAGCTACCATTAATACATGTAGTCTTATTTGCTATGCTACTAGAATTATCAAACATACAAGACAAGCAAATTCAAGAATAGGATAGTAAGATGAATCAGCTAAAAATTTTGTTTTGTCAGATTAAAGACAAAACAAATCAGATTCTGACAATTCTGATTTTATGATGTCAAAAGAATGGAAGGCAGATGGGGTTGTTAATATAATGGCTGCATAAGATTCAGTAAAACTGATTTCAGCATGATTATCATCAAATTGAATTAACGTTGTAATGGAGCAAATAGCTTCATTTAATTAAATTATTCATATTCCTATAGGCGATTAATAGGAAGAACAATTTCAACTTTTGAGCATTTTAATTTGTTTAATGGCATATCAAATTAAATGTGTCAGTTAATGCTGAAATTTAATTTTCTTAGGAGCTTTGAAAATATATGTCATTCTGCTTTCACATTTGAACACATTGTAGGTGATACTTATCTTTTGTACATATACATGTTTGTGTGGACATAATTACTAGAGGTATTGATATGTGTGTTTCATGTAGTTTTATTGAAGTTGTATTTTGGGATATAAACTCCAATAAGTGAGGCACAAACAAGTAAGAGATGCCAACAAATAAATCTTACTAAATTCAGTAGATACAAAAAATTCTTTTTTACAATTTTGTACAAACATGGCTTCTGGAATCTGATTGGATACAAGCAACATCACCCAACCTACGGAAGCCATACTAACGATAAACTTACCTATCTACAAGCCAACAAATGTGCAAACCTAATTTTCCCAATTAAATGCAATTTTTAGTGTAAAGAAAATCATATCACAAGGTGCCTACATAGTAGAAAAACTCCCAGCAGATGTTGCAACAGAAGTCGTTGATTTACTTGACTATATACCAGAGGAAAAACCCTATGATATGCTGAAATATGTGATAATTAGACATATCAGATAATCAGATAAGAGAAAGTAACATGACCTATTTAATAATTTGAGCATGAGACAAGTGAAGCCTTCACAGCTACTAAGGAACATGTGAGCATGCCTAGTAGACAATACCATGTCTGATGCAGTGTTGAAAAAACTGTGCACAGACAAACTACA